GTGACAGTCTCAAGTCTCACAGTCCGTATCCACACATTGTATTTGAGACGATCTGCTGACAAATGCCATCCAAGCCATAACAAAACTATTCAAAACTATTCGAAATTCAGACTTCCCCTATCTACGAAAGAAATGATCTTTACAGATAGACCAACCAGCACTGAATCTATTCGCACGGGACTTCTATGAGTTGGCTGAGAACGAAGAACGACTGGCATATTTGCAATTAATTAGGTCCGCTATATAATCACTTATCCAGATTTTATTCTTGGATCATCTTCTTGATGATTTCAGAGATGTGCTTGTGCTTTTGCATGCACCTGCTGAGTCGGCCACACAAGATGCTGAGGAGATCATCGAATTCGAGACAGCTTTAGCCAATGTACGTGCTTCAACAGTTTGACAACTATTTTGCATGAAAGATACCAGTAACCAAATGAAAGCTGTTGTCTTGGTGGTCTATCTGTGTGTATAAGCTCCCAAACACCAACTACTACTGCTGAGAGATTTTATATGATAACTGCTGTTTAGTGCAGCAGTTCGCACCCCGAAAGTTATCAGGAATGCCGAGTTATGGGCGAAAGTCATTGAGGCGAGTCTTTGAACTGGGAGGGTAACACCGGCACGGTAGCGGAGTGGATAACGCACATCCCCGGTCAGCGGGAGATGCGAGTTCTAGTTCCGTCTGGGGTCTGATTTTTGCCCATAAGTCCGCATACTTGTGGTAAATGACGAGAGAATTCTAGACTCTGATAAGTAAAGGTGGGTTATGAGACACGATCCGCTATGTCAAAGTGATAGTCACACTTGGAAGGAATCCCAAGGTTAGCCCCTCTCCCAAAAAACTCATTCCACTATAGCTGGATGTGCGCGGTAATGAGCGAAGATGTGGAACTAATGTACTTCCCTCATTGGTACACCCGTCCTTCTCACACGGTGAAGGGCAACAGTGAGTTAGCACAGCTGTCGGTCCCCGCCCCTCCTGTGGTCACGGACCGTGTCTCTCAAAATCTCACCTATCGATGAATTTCTTTACATCCAATACTTCAGAAGATGAACATCAGAGAGAAAAGTAATTTTCGATTCTGCACTGTCCTAATCTTAATAATAACGCTGTCTTTCTGTGACTGTGAATCACCACTTCTCAAAATATTCCACGTTGATCAGCTCAGGTTTCAGCACAAAGATTTCGACTGTTTCAGATCACAATGGCTGACGACCAACGTCACGACATCGCCGAGCTGTACACGAAGATGACCCTGGGGCAAATGAAGCAAGAGTTGCCAAACTTCGATTGGCTGCTCTTCTTTAACGAAGTCTTTCGTGAAATAACCGATCAGGTGATCAGCTTACTAGCTTCCTTTACTGCTATTCTCGAAGAATTCTACCACACCATCAGCTGCAAAATTTTTAATGTGAAATTTTTAATATTAGCGATCGAAACATAGTGATGCATTGACAAAATAGATCCCTAACATCTGCCTTGTCTCGCTCTGTTTCCTGATATGCCCTAACATCTCTTGGCACGAACTGCCTGGCCGCGCTACACGCGCAAGGGTCAACGCAAGCATGTGCTGCTGTCGCCTATAAGACGGACGCCTCAATCCTGTTATCCATGTTCAGGGGGTTGAAAACTCGTGCCATGTGGGTTCAAATGTCTAAGCAGACAACTTTTCAGTGAAATTAACTTGGCACGAGCGAGTCAATTTCACAGAAAACTCACATCCGCTTTGTTCGAAAAAGCTGGCACGCGGTCCCGGGTTTTTCGAGCAAAGCGGATGTGATAGCCATTTAGCCAAATCTGCTCCTGAGAAAAAGGAGCTACAAAACTGGTCTGCTTTCAGAATGGGCAAAGGGTGAATAGTATTGAAGAGTTTCATCAGGTCAGATACAATCCTCTTCTCTTCCGCGACCTCGTCCAGGATTCCCTCAACGCACTCTCGACCCTGATTCTGAGATAGTGCTGGGAGAAGGGGACGATAGTTGAAAAGAAGCGCTTTGTTTCCATTCCAAAATTTCCATACTATTCCAGTTCGTAGCATAGACCCTATCACCAAGCCAAGTGGGACCACTCACTTCGTAGCGACTGCTATACAACATTATTCTTTTACTAGATTCCACCAATAGCGATAAGTTCTGTACAAAAGTAATGATAGATGATCGACGAAACTGTAGCAGATTACGGGTGGCGTTATTTTTGTCCATTTACAGAATGGCACACGGATCGTATTTGATGAAAATGCCGAAGTGGTGATATATGGCATCGAATTCCTCCGTCGACTAGATAAACTACTTCCGGAATATGAGAAAAGGTAAGGTTCTCAGCTGGTTCTGTTCTCTTTATTCCTACTCGTAGACGGATGCAGATGTGTGTTCAACAGAGAGAGATCTTTCTGAGGGCTCAAGAGGAAATGATACTCAATAAATCATGGTACTATATACTTTGAAGCATCGGTATTCCTGTTGCTGTGCCCTTGGCAGTGCCACAAAATTACGGGATTTCATTCTCGTCATTGATAGCCTTATGTATCTCG